CTGTCACATACTCATTGCTTTTGTTTTAATGATAACCTTTCCTAAGCCTAGGCATATTGACTTTATGTTAACAATAAATTAAAGAGAAAAGTCAGGGATAGAGGAGGACAATAGAGATATGTGTGTCATTTGAAAGCTCATGATTTACTGAAAATGGTTCACTTTATTGTAGGAGGTTCAAAGGTTGGCAGGTTTAATATTTTATTCAGAGAGACCATTAAATTGAGAATATGCAAATTTGAGCCAGCAAAACATTGATACATTCCATGATGAAGCATCACCTTGCATGTAATGTGTCATCTCACATTGATAAAATAGTAATTAGACAGCTCTTTAATATAAATTTCATAACAAACCTTTCTCAGGGAATTGCCAACATGCTGGTCTCCACTTTCTTATTCATAATTAAAAAATAATAAAATTGATTTGTCCTTCGTGTTTTGATCTCTTGGTTCTTGAATTTCTATTGCTAACCATATGAAAAAAAAGTAATGTGTGCTCAACCATGTTTATTGTATATATGTATACATGTACTGTGGACTCCTTTCACCTTTATACAGAGTAGTTTCATTTAAAAGCATATAGGTATAAACAATTAAGAAGTTTTATATTTCTTTCTCCTATTGATATCTGGATATTTTCCCTCTCCCTCTCTCTTTGGCAGCCGATCTAGGGAGTATCAACTGAATGACTCAGCAGCATACTATCTCAATGCCCTAGATCGCATTTCTCGCCCAGGCTATGTTCCAACTCAACAAGATGTACTGCGCACCAGAGTGAAAACTACAGGAATTGTTGAAACCAATTTCTCCTTCAAGGATCTCAATTTTAAGTACGGATCAATTGTCCAATTGGTTGTCATTTGAAAAATATTGTAATTGATTTGGAAATGGTAATAACCTCCTGTATTTAGCATTGTGCAAATGTTTAATGCACTAAATGACACTTTTCAGGCTATTTGATGTTGGTGGTCAGAGGTCAGAAAGGAAGAAATGGATCCATTGCTTTGAAGGAGTCACAGCCATTATCTTTGTGGTAGCTTTATCAGGTAATTAGGTAATTTGTTTTTGTTAGAACCAGTAATGACATACCTGAAAATCAGTAGATATATTGTCAGTAAATTTTAATAGACAAAAGTCCATGTAAATAAGTTAATGGTATAATACCTGAACTCAAAGAAGATAAAAAAACATAATGGACAACATACCTTTTTTCTGTAGAGTTTTTGTTTTTTAATAGTAATCCTCCAGAATTTGTATGAGGCAGTTTTAATTTTACTTTTAGCATATTTCCAAAACCGTCTGTTATGATGGAATTTTCTATTATATTTCAATTTTGATTTGCAGGTTATGACTTGGTATTGGCTGAAGATGAAGAAATGAATCGTATGATAGAAAGCATGAAGCTCTTTGACTCCATCTGCAACAACAAATGGTTTGTGGAGACCTCAATAATTCTCTTCCTTAATAAAAAGGACTTGTTTGAAGAGAAAATTACAAAATCTCCGCTAACAATCTGCTTCCCTGAATACACAGGTAATGTTTTGATCCAGTTGAATATTTCTCAAAGCTTTTTGCATTTATTGGTATGATCCTGTCTGACAGGGAAAGTTAGTTTTTGATATTAGGTTAAATATGAATTGTTAGGGATCTAGAATTAAAGAGTAGAAAAATAAGAATGAGAAAGAACTGTAATAAAGCCTGTATTTTTTTATTATTGTTATGAGATATTTATTTTGTTTCATTTATTTATTTTTTTTTTATGAAGATTACTCCTTAACCCCTTGGTGCTGGGTGACGCCGATCAGCGTGTAAACAAAGCGCTCGAAAGCTGGCGTGCAGCCAAACGAGCCGGCGGCGAGCCAATGATTCGGGCTGATGTCCCCTACTCACGCCGCCTTTGTTTGCTTAAGCGTAGTTTTTTTTTTGTTTTTGTTTTGTTTTTTGTTTTGTACACCCGGCGCCATTGGGTTAACCCCTTGTTTGTACATGGCATCTACTATGATGCTATGGTGGCGTAGCACCAATACTGTGGGTGGCATCCCTACAGATACAACCCATACGGATATAACTGTTTGGTGAATCACATGGCCTTCAAAAAAAGCCCGCACACATTGGGTTAATGTTGTTATCAGTGAAGTGCTGTGAAGTACTATTGATATAAACATTTGTGAATTTTTTTGTTCAAACAGGAAGCAACACCTATGATGAGGCAGCAAATTATATTCGCATGAAATTTGAGAATCTTAACAAGAGGAAGGACCAGAAAGAAATTTACACTCATTTTACGTGTGCAACTGACACTACCAACATACAGGTGAGAATTGGAATACTTGATATCATAATGGATATTGCTCTCATATATAACATTTCTTGTGTAAAAAAATAACAACATACAAGTTAGGTTTTGATTTAAAAAAAAACTTAAAATAGATGAAAGAAGATATGAAAGGAAGTTTTGAGCTGTAATGTAATTACAACACTGTAAGATTATAATTTACTCTTTACTTCTTAATATTTTTTTCAATTTTCCAGTTTGTGTTTGATGCTGTAACAGATGTAATCATCAAACACAACCTCAAGGACTGTGGCCTCTTCTAGAGAATGATCTACTGTAAATACACGGGTGGTTGTTAGCAAGCCATATATTTGGAGCCTCATGCTCAGATGAGCCAGAGGGGCATGAAACCTGGCTATTGTCCCTGCCCATTACATTCCCCTGTGGAAAGTTCACACCAAAGTATTATTATACTGCTTGGACACAATAGCCAGTTTATATATTTTCTGAATGAGCTGAAATTGGAATTGCAAACATAAAGACATGATTAAATGTTTAATTCAGCTAGAATTTGGTGTGCACAATTGGACTCCAGCCACATTGCACAATGGTACATGGTACCTACTTTTTCTCCAGCTATGTAGTTTTCTTTCCTTGGAAATGTGCACAAATTGTATGGACTTTAATTGTGTGCCATGTGTTATTTGGGCCAGTGATTACTGTTGGTGTTGTGGGCATGTTTACCAGTCAGATGTTCTGCTTCTTTGAGTGACAATCGTGATTATTTTCTTCCTGAAAGTGTATGTATGTATTATGAGGAATGAATTGTTTTCTTTCTTTATTACATTCTTTATCATGTTGGATGTGATTTTTGAGTGGAATATTGAAGCTAGCATTTTAATCTTAAGACAGCAGCATGTGGCAACCAGAAAACATGTCTTGAGTCCTTAATTGTGTTTACCTTTTATATATGTGTAACAGCAGTGATGTACCTCTGACATTTTACTCTGTATTTGTCACAAATGTAGTTGTGAAGACGTGAATGCTTCACTGCATTAGCTCAACCGAGTGACATGGAGACTAATTATTCTTGGAGTTGTTGGTCTTAGTTATTTAGCTAAGAACAGATAAACCTTGATATTAATTTCTCCTTATGGTATGACTTTTATTCTGAAAGCTTTTATCTGTAGAAATATTTTATTACACAGGCAACAGAATGCCAAAGTTTGTCATTTCCTTTTTCATCATAGCTTATTATCTTCATTTGCAAGAATATATTTGAAGTTTGCTTGTAGAAATGTGTTCTGTATGATTTGGAACTTCTAAGTATATCTGATATTCATGATGACTTGGATTTAATATGAATTCTAGATACAGGCAGGAGGTTGTTAACAGAAGGAAGCAGGGACCATTCTGATACATTCTAAACTTTTTTTTTTTATATATATATATAATTTCCTTGTATTTTTCTTCCTACAAGTGTTTGGTGGTTTTAGTTGTACAGTGTATATTTATACTTGATCAGTGTGGCCAGTTTTAAACCTTATCCTTCTTTGTTCTGTCAGCGTTCCCCTGCCATAAACTGGATTTGCAAAGCCCTGGGCATTTTTCAGTTGCTGCCAAAGAAGTTTTTCCTAGTTTTTAAAATTTCATTGTTAAAATTTATTCAACTTAATATGTTTCAGTTCGAGTTAATGTGGTTATTTATTTCTATAAATTGGCATTTAGCAGAAAATGTGAAAGATCATTGCATCCTTACAGTAATGTTACAGACTGTGCAAGAAATTAGGGTAGACTTCTTAAATGGCAAAAGCTCCAGTGCTTGTTGCTTCTTATTGCTGATTTTCTATTGTGGCATTCCTTTCTCTTGTAAATTGTAACTCAAGATGTGCCTGTTCATTAGTAGAGCTGTGTAGACTTGTATCTGCAGTTTGCAGAGTCAAGATATGGGAGGGAGATGATTTATATTACTATAGCTATAAATATCAATATTCACTCCTTAATTGTTTGCAATTTTCCATCTGTGAATGTATGTACAATACAGATTAAATTTCATTTTATCTTATCTTAGTGTAAGTATAGATCTTCCTGCAGTGGTAAGATTTGCCAAATTGATGTTTTAAATATTGGCTCAGAACTAAGGAACAAAGTTGTAAGAATACAAAGGAACAATGTTTTAAGACTAGTGGTATCCATAAAATAATTCAAAACATACCAGAGAAGTGATCAATTTATAAAGATGATTCTATTTAGTATTACACTTTGCTGTGTGGGTGCCTACAAATTATTTTTTGGGTTCTTTCTCTATCAGATAAGGACAAAAGCAGTATAAGATCAATTGCCCTTATGCCTAAGCTGAAATTGATGAATATTAAAATCACGACTAGAAAAAAAAAGTTATCAGATCTTTCTTTTCTCTAGGTGTGCTTTTTCAGTAATGTAACTCTGTATTTGATCAACTTTGAACATAAAATGTGCCGAGTGATTGACATGTTTGTGAACATGAGGTGGCTAAATTGTAAGTGCCAATATTGTGTTTGAAAGTATCATCGATTCATATTATTTGGATATGAGGTACATTGGAATAAGAAAATTCTGGACTCGGTTATTATTTTAGAATATTGTTGAAAATTGATTGAAGGAAAAAAAAAAAAAAAAAAAAAAAAAGCCTTTGAATTGGTAATAGAAAACATTTGAGCTAAAAATTAGGGAATGCGCCTTAGCATCTCACTGCAAGAATATGCTTTAAGCCTACAGAATTCTCAGTTTATTTCACTGACAGGAATATATACATTTTCTGAATCTAATACCTCTGAGGATTTAAAGTGATTCATGAAAGGACTGGTCTTAATTTTTGATTTTGTGTTTACAAGTTCCAAACCTTATCCTTCTTTGTTCTGTCATCGTTCCCCTGCCATAAACTGGATATTTGCAAAGCCCTGGGCATTTTTCAGTTGCTGCCAAAGAAGTTTTTCCTAGTTTTTAAAATTTCATTGTTAAAATTTATTCAACTTAATATGTTTCAGTTCGAGTTAATGTGGTTATTTATTTCTATAAATTGGCATTTAGCAGAAAATGTGAAAGATCATTGCATCCTTACAGTAATGTTACAGACTGTGCAAGAAATTAGGGTAGACTTCTTAAATGGCAAAAGCTCCAGTGCTTGTTGCTTCTTATTGCTGATTTTCTATTGTGGCATTCCTTTCTCTTGTAAATTGTAACTCAAGATGTGCCTGTTCATTAGTAGAGCTGTGTAGACTTGTATCTGCAGTTTGCAGAGTCAAGATATGGGAGGGAGATGATTTATATTACTATAGCTATAAATATCAATATTCACTCCTTAATTGTTTGCAATTTTCCATCTGTGAATGTATGTACAATACAGATTAAATTTCATTTTATCTTATCTTAGTGTAAGTATAGATCTTCCTGCAGTGGTAAGATTTGCCAAATTGATGTTTTAAATATTGGCTCAGAACTAAGGAACAAAGTTGTAAGAATACAAAGGAACAATGTTTTAAGACTAGTGGTATCCATAAAATAATTCAAAACATACCAGAGAAGTGATCAATTTATAAAGATGATTCTATTTAGTATTACACTTTGCTGTGTGGGTGCCTACAAATTATTTTTTGGGTTCTTTCTCTATCAGATAAGGACAAAAGCAGTATAAGATCAATTGCCCTTATGCCTAAGCTGAAATTGATGAATATTAAAATCACGACTAGAAAAAAAAAGTTATCAGATCTTTCTTTTCTCTAGGTGTGCTTTTTCAGTAATGTAACTCTGTATTTGATCAACTTTGAACATAAAATGTGCCGAGTGATTGACATGTTTGTGAACATGAGGTGGCTAAATTGTAAGTGCCAATATTGTGTTTGAAAGTATCATCGATTCATATTATTTGGATATGAGGGTACATTGGAATAAGAAAATTCTGGACTCGGTTATTATTTTAGAATATTGTTGAAAATTGATTGAAGGAAAAAAAAAAAAAAAAAAAAAAAAAGCCTTTGAATTGGTAATAGAAAACATTTGAGCTAAAAATTAGGGAATGCGCCTTAGCATCTCACTGCAAGAATATGCTTTAAGCCTACAGAATTCTCAGTTTATTTCACTGACAGGAATATATACATTTTCTGAATCTAATACCTCTGAGGATTTAAAGTGATTCATGAAAGGACTGGTCTTAATTTTTGATTTTGTGTTTACAAGTTCCAATGGCATTAATATTCAGCAGCATTAAGTTCATTGATTTTCTTCAGGGCCCAAGCTGTTTAGATCTGGATTACTTTGAACTTGTACTGTAATAATAACAAGAGACCTCAGGAAACCTTGAAATTCACATGCACACACACAGCTTCCCAGATAAATCTTTTATGATAATTTTTTTTTTTTTACAAAGGTGCAAAGACCTGTGTCCATTATATGTAAGTATTATGTCCACTTGTTTTGCTTTTATTATAAAATATTTGGTATTGCTATCCAACTTATTAAATATTTTATCATTAAGAAATTGAGTCAGCAGAAAATTTGCCAGGAACTGCAGAGCAAATTTCAGTAGTTTACCTACAACTGTTATGTCTACTTTCAATAGGACTTCAAGAACCCTGGTCTTTCACTGAAAAAAAAGAAGAGAAAAAGGAAAGCATGGGAAACAACCCAGTCATTTATTCTTGTACAGAATTTTATACAATAAATAACTTCTTCAAGATGTGTTTGTAATCCCTTGATGAAAAATGAAATACCACCAAACAGCAAGGCATTTATTTCATCAGCATCCCACTTCTTAAGAAACCAAGTTAAGCTGACAATGTCATTGCATCAGACTTATACAAGGCACTTAACATTGTACAAAAATAGTATATGTTCTAACTAAAAGCATACAAATGTGGAAAGATACATTGAGAATATACTACTCCAAATCTCATAACTTGCTATCTCACAGATTACAAAATGCATCAAATTACAAATATTGCAAGTCCTTGAAACAGGAGACTAGAATCATAATGCGTACCACTGAAATATCAACAAGACTTGAGATTTCAACTGAACCTCCTGTTAAAATTTTTGTTACTGGAAGGAAGTCGAGATGTAAGCACTCTACTAATTACTTAGTCTGTCACCGTAATTGCTCTGTCGGGTAGTATCTGCAGAACAAACTTTAGATATTAAAGCTGCGACATTTTTTTTCTTGTTGTATGGTCTTCATGAAAATAGACTTTCAAGATTCAAATTTTGTTTTTACTTTCTAAAAGATCTGTTCCTTAAATCAATATTTTTACCATACAAATCATCCTATATTTTCTGCTATAATAATACCAAAGAAAGGGCTGAGCAAGGCAGTAGTCTTAACGTTAACTTATTAAGTATTTATATTATAAAAGTAGAAATTGTATCCATTCCAAAACAAAGAAGTGTTTTCCAGAACATTTATTTCAAAAATCTTGAAAGTGTACTTTCTCAAACTTCTGAAAGACGAACTACACGCACATGAGCGACGTATACATTAAACCTTAGCTTAATATGGGACAGATCTCTTTTAATCAATATGCTGGCCACCAAGTTATTCTGAATGTCAAAAATAGAGCACTTCACAAGTATCACATGTAACTATTTATCAGCACCCAACTGAGTGCCCTACCCTCCACACAAGCAGCTTCCTGAATGAACACTCACTGGTTGAATAATTTGATCTTATACAAATTTCTCCCACAGGAGTCTTTAAATAACAAAATATGCATTACTTCAAAGTAATGTTTTGCAACATTTTACTACTGTCAAAAATAAAGAACTAGTCTTTAAGATATATAACAAATACTTTATTCTGCATCCCATATACTGCTTCTACTTTTGAACAGTATACCTGTAACTTAACTTCATTACCTAAACTTTGATAATTTAATCAACATGGAAGCTTCAAGTTTAAAATAAAATATAATACTCTGTCAACAGGCAAAACTATACTGAATTAATGTTGTACATATAGTTCTAAACTAGAATTGCACAATAAAACAACAACCTCATAGCTGCATAACTTTCCCCTTTACAACAAAGAGAACACTTTTCAAGTACATCTTACTATTTCACTATTCTGTTATAACACCTGCAACTATGGACACAATTCTTCTCGTGCAGATCAAAAGTCAACATACTTTTAATTTTGATCCATACATGTCATATATAAGTGATGCGATGCGTATTATAAAATAACCTTAAGTAGTGTTGTTACACCAAACTATTTCATTATCTAATATCTGGTTACTTGAGGACACGGTAGGCTGTCACACTTGAATAATAAAAAAAAATCCTTATCCAAATATCTTGACGAAAAAGAGAGATAAGAAAAGAACCAAAACTTTAATTCTATTTGGACAAATATAATACTCTGTTCTAGGTAAACAGAGAACAATGTACCATCCATTTCCACATTCACTTTTTTTCTGGATGAAGGTAATCTCCGTTGTATGGACCAACATCAGTGTATGCTGAAGAGTTTACTAACTGTGTCACTTTTCACTCTCCCATGCATTATTTAAGATACCTGGAGTATTAAAAGCACTGCAAATTCGTAAGACTGATACCAAATAGTAGAAACAACTCTTCAAGCTCTTATGATTGATATGGGTTGCAGTTCTTTTCTATAAGCAATACCAAATACAAAAGCACAAAAGCTAGACTGAACATGGTAAGTATAGCTAAATTCTTCTTAAATCCTAACACAGCTGAGGTGTGTTAGAATCTAATAGCATTAATTTTAATTATTAGGGAGAAAATGGTTGGAGGTGTTCATCAGCATTTAAGTTGGGGGTGATGCAACAAGGGTGGCACCTGCAGCAGCTGCAGCCTCTAGTCTTGCTTTTAGTTCAGGTTCCAAATTTTGTGCAAGGGAAGAAACTTGATCTGGGAAATCCCTGTTGACACTTGCCACAAACTCCTGGATAAGCTGGTTTGTCTCTGAAAATAACAATGAATTATGAATATATATATTTTCATATCTAACCTGAAAACAAGACTAAAGATTTAAAATACCAAAATAACTTGTTAAAACAACTATGTATCAAATCTGCTGAATATCGATGGTTATATTTATTATAAACATTATAATTACTATAATGTTATAATCATTAGTAACAGCAAAATAAGATAATGTAAAATATTTTCGTAAATTAAAGAAAAGGGTAAATGGGAGAGACAGTACAAGTACAAGTGTAGCCATCTATGTGTAAAAACAATTAAACAAGTAAACTCACAGTGGGTATGTCACGTATAAATGCCCTCTGAATCTAATCATCCTCCCAAGAGTTTTGTGCACTTGTGGGGAGTCATTCCCATTTCCCTTCAGGGTAATGGGAATGTACTCATGGCAAGTCATTCCAGTCAACCCTGCCTTTAACCAAAATTCTGATTATGGCAAGTTCCTGTCACCTTGGCCCCTCAGCCAAAACTACCCATTACATTATGTTCATGTCACCTGCCCCTCCAGCAAAATTTTCTCAAGTCCTACGGGCTAATGATATTTACTAATGCCTACAAGAGTTATTACAAACGTGATTTTTGTGCTTTACATCTCAAATGCCTACATTTTTCTCATGACTAAATAAACCAAATATTAAATTACTAACTATCATCAGCTTGCTTTGTAGTGTAGATCAGGGCAGCAAGTCTCAAGATGGGCACCAGGTTCTGTGCCAATAATGGGTGCTGCATGCGATACAGCACC